TTTTTTTTATATATTTTAAACCACAGCCAACAATGAAATTCTGAGTTAAGATTCAAATTAAGCGCTCCGAAAATCTTCAGAAAATTTTGTACAGGTTTCTGTCGGCCTGTGTGATTCTTAGAAGTTTTTTTCTCGACGAATAAAACTAATGCCTGTGAATAATACTTATTTACAAACAACCAAATTTGTGGAACCAAAATTCAATTTCCAAGTGTTTGCATTTCAGTCTCAACAACAAAAACCCCGTGAATCAGCTATTTATCAAATTCTGGTCACGAAATGTGCAAATGTTACAACAATTTTATGAATTTACTAGTCTTTCTACTTGTGGTTTATTTAAATAAAACGTGAAATTTAGTTGAAACAGTTTAGCCGTTTTTTTTTTGGCCAATTTAGCCGGTTGGTCCAAGAAGTTCTGGCAACACTGTCCATAACCGATTCCGGAAGGCTGTCAATTTGACATCTTTTTGCATAGCTTGTTTGTGGTTGTGGAGTATGATTTTTTTGCAGATTTGTGTATTTTCTACAGTTCACGATTTTAATTGTGTTTTCTGTGCTTATCATAATTTAAAAAGATTAAATTAAACTGGATATATTGTGTATTAGTTTATATACTATTAAACTGACTAGCAATCGTTAATTGTGCAATGGCCTGTTTGTTGTGTTTGGAACATGGCATGACGCCGGCACGATTCATTGATATTTTTTCTGAGGAAGGTTGCCAAATGAATATTTGCAGCATAATTGCCAAACATCTATGGTTGAAAGTAAGTAAACTAAAATAATATTTGAAATTATAAGAAATATTTTGAACTATACAGCCGGAGAGGGATATATCTACTGGTCAACGCATTTGCTGGACTTGCTGGGAGGCATTGCGTGATTTTCACATATTCTATCAACGTGTGGCTGAGGTACACAACCGTGCAGACTGGAAGACTCCCTTTGCTCACATTGAGCAAGAACAAGAAAACGATCCATTGCCACAGGAAATCCAACTTAAATCTGAAGATGCCACGAATTCCGAAGAGAAGTTGCAAACTTCTGCGGATATGGAAGGTAACCTATTCGACTCAGGTATGTATACTAATTCGTCCAGCTATCGTGTATATACTATAAATTGCCAATAATTTCATATCTAGAAGTCAAGTTAGAGGTATATGACCTAGATTTATTACCACAAATCGAAATTATCGAAGAAAGCACGCCTGCGAGTAAAAGAGCCCAACGAGCCAAGCGTCGGGGACGCCCGCCAAAAGACCCAAATGCAAAAACATCGGCCATCCCCAAACGCATCAAACGAGATCCATCGCCACTGGCTGCTAACGATGATGACTCGGAAACCGAACTGCCTTTATCAGTTTTATTGAATGCTAGCATCAAGACTGATACCAATGACGATAGCAAACGAGTAATTGAAATATCACCAGCCGAAGACGAGTCAAAAACCGAAAATGAAACCGCTACTACTTCAACCACTGAACCTCAGAAAAAGCGACGTGGTAGACCTAGAAAAGTGCGGGTTGAAGAAGCATCGCCTAATATAAACGTCACGAAACAAAAGGAAAAGAACGAAAATAAAGATAATGGTAAAAAGGATATAAAAACCGAGCAGGTCTCCCTTAATAGTGACGCAGAAGATAACGATAATGACCGTGAATTCATCGCTGACTTCGGCGGTTGCTCTGGTACGGATGATAGCGGTGATTCTAGCAGCGACAATACTGATTCAGATGAAAGCCTTCCAGACTTCGAACCAAAACCGCAATATGCAGTCATTCCGAAGAAGAAAGTTGTTAAGCCCAAAAAGTATCGTAAGCGTGAGAAACCTCTTGTACCCCCTAAACGTATGACAAAAGAGGAACTCGAAGCGAAACGAGCTCAGCAAGATGAGTACGATAAAGCTATCAGGCAATTTTTTGGACGGTTCGCGTGTCCGAAATGTGAGTTGTTGGTCCAAAACTTTGCTGAAATTCGTGGGCACTTTAGAGCTTCGCATAACGAGGATCCCGGATATATGATGTGCTGTGGCCGAAAATTTCCACAAAGAAAAGCTCTAGCTGAGCACATATATTTGCATTGGAATCCAGAGCATTTCAAATGTACCCAATGCGGAAGACTTTTCCAAGACAGTCGCAATCTAGAGCAACATGAAGAGGCGCACGTCAACCCGCCAGAACCAAAAGAGCGGAAAATGTTTCAGTGTGATAAATGTCCGAAAGTATTTACAACAAAAGCCGCATTTGAGCACCATTCCTTTTCAAAGCATGTACCCAAATCGGAGTTTAAATTCTCATGTACACTATGTAATAAAAAGTAAGTATAACTGCTGGTTTCACCAGCAATTTAAGTGAAAAATTATTTGTTCCCTTCGTGAAACTGGCAATAATTGTCTATTTCCATAAATTTTTGCAATAAATAATATTGAAATTATTCATTGCATAGACTTCCAACACAGCGCAAGCTCAAGGACCACATGAAATACAATCATGATCCAGAAAGTACAATCATTTGCGACAAATGCGGCAAACAGGTGCGCACACAATACCTGAAAAAGCATCATCAACTAGAGCATTCTGAACAACCACGCCCAATTCCACAGCCTATGCAGTGTCAAATTTGTGGTACTTGGTTGCGTCATATGTCGGGTCTTAAACAACACATGAAATCAATACACGAAGATCCCGGTGGTGAACACCGTTGTTCTATTTGTAATAAAGTTTCAACAACGGCTCGTGCACTACGACGTCATGTTTACCTCAACCATGAGTGCGAGCGGAAATTCAAATGCACTATGTGTGAAAAGGCCTTTAAGCGGCCTCAAGATCTTAGAGTAAGAATACTATATCTCAATTAATGCTTTTTTACTTAAATAATTTTCTAATTGCAGGAGCATACCTCCACACATACCGGTGAAGTTTTATACACCTGCCCTAATTGTCCAATGACTTTCTTCTCTAATGCTAATATGTATAAGCATCGACAGAGATTACATCGTGCTGAATGGGAAGCAGACAGGAAGAAACCCAGGCATATAGCAAATATTATGGCTCAAGCTATGGGTGCAACAGCGGCACAGAGAGCGAAACAGGCAGTAGGCGCTACATCAGCCTTCTTTGCACAGAAAATGAACACCAGTGGAAGTACGGTTGGCACAGAAAGAATCAACATCGATCCGGAGGTCATGCAGCACCACTTACAAATGGCTATTCAATAAGATGCAACAATGAGATTTAAAGCGTTTATAATTATGAAAATAGATATGCATACCTATTAGGATAAATATAGGTTGCTTTTAAGAGCCAGAGCTTGGATAGTTATTAACAAAAATGTATGAGTGTGTACATATACATACATATAATAAAGATATGCTAAAAAGGATTTGTATACTTTTTTAAATATTTTTGAATTTCACGGTGACGATAAATAAAACTTACAACGAGGATAACTATAGTTTATAAATTTTCTTTATTTTTCTTTTTACAACTTCTTACCTCACACAGAGAAAAACATTGCCTTTATGATAGTAACTTAATTTTAGTTTATAACATCTTGTGGTATATTTATTGTCATTGTCATATAATCCTCGCGATGCAGTTCAGCCCATCGCAGTGCTACGGCTGGATTGACTGATTTTCGAAATACCATGCAGGTGATATGCGGTAATTTTTCAAAACAAATTCTATAAAAGCCCAAAGTGCCCAGCGTGTAACGCCAGTTTTTCATTAATTTTGCATTTTTGCCTACATGTTGGGAGTCAGGAGTTATAATTATAAGGATGCCTTCGGGGCGCAGCAGATCGTACGCCTTGCGACAGCAATGCATACGCTTTTCTGGTGAAGGTATGTACTCCAACAAAAGGCTAAAAATGACGCAATCGTAATATTGACACGGTAAGCTTTTTACTTCCCCATATTCTATAAGAACTTCTTCGCCTTTATCTATGACAATTTTTAAGAAATCGCCTTTTATGACATCAGTGGTGGCTGGACATAGATCAATCGCAGTAACATTAAAGTGTGGCTCTCCAGAAAATGGGTTAAAGCAACTTCCTACGTCTAAAACATTGATAGGCTTCGAAAATGTATTTTTTACTTGACTTGTATCCGCGGTCGGAATATCATTATAAGACTGGGCTAAACGTTGCTCGCGATCACGCTTCTCCAGGAATATTCGCTTGGTAAAAAAGTACGATTCGCAATAATCAACTATCCATTTGACACGGCTGCGTGCAAATAAGTTTGGATTTGTAGTATTTGTCTCCCAAATTGAAGCCAACCGATACATAGCCGATGAGTACTGCTGCAATGAAAGAGTATTTTGCAAATGCTCATCCCAAGCTTCGTTCATCCCTTTTATTTTGGATTGAGTTCTTAAATTTTCATGACAATCCTTGATGATTGTCGCAAGTTCCATGTGTTCTTTCTTTAAATCGTCGCAAAAATAATTCGCCATCCTTATTTATTTACCACGCAAATTTTAGCAACAGTACAGCAGAAAAGAAAAAGTAAACAAATCAATTAATCAGCTGTTCTCAAATTAAGGACGGTTGCCACTTCGAAGGGTTTACCAAATGGGATATTTAAGTATGTATTTGGGAGCTAATTCTCGTTCTATGAAAATGTGAAGTGAAAATGAAAAATTCAATGTCAGGGAAAATTGAATTTATTCATTTTATCACTTCATTACATTACTTTAAGCGATTCTAGTTCATTAAAGGCTATTTTTAATATAAATATCTTATGAGCTACATAACCGATTAAAAAAATTTATGTAAAATAAAGGTGATTAGTTTATCTTTTAGTTTCATAGTTTGTATTGCTCTAGTTATACGTGTGGCAACCGTAAAATAAAATAGTTGTGCAGTGTTGCAAATCGACCTAAAATATTACAACAACAACATTAAATTAAAATTATACTTTAAAAAAATATCTACATATCCAAATAAAATGTATGTTGGCAGCTCGCTTCTCGATGTAAACAATTCCTCTTAATCATTAGTCTTACCAGGATCAGCAAATAATCGCGTTATCTGGAATGAGCTGTATATCATGTTTGGAAGATGCTACATCTGTAGTACAATTTATAGAGATATTTTCCGAGGAAGGCCTCCAGTTGAACATCTGCGATGTTATATCACAACATCTCTGGTTAAGAGTAAGTAAACTCCAACAATCTGCAAGGATATAATATTGCCCATTTCAGCCGGAGAGGAAAACATGCGATGGTCAACGCATTTGTTGGACATGCTGGGAGGCTTTGCGCGACTTCCATGTATTTTATTTACGTGTGGCTGAGTTGCACAACCACTGGGATTGGAAATATTCACATGGGAAGGAAGCGGAGCCTTGTGCGCAGGAAATCGAATTAAAACCCGAAATTGTTCATATGGCCGATGCTCTTGAAAATTTAGAAGAAAGATTTGTGGATTCAGGTACATATGTAAAAAACCTAATTATTTATTTATGCAAGAATGATAGATATGTACATATATCATCTTGCCGAGGTCTTCCTTTCAGAAATAAAAGTAGAGGCACAGGATATAGATTCGCTGTTGCAAATTGAATTCATCGATGAACCTAGACCAAAAGATAAAAATGTTAAATTGGGGAAACGACGGGGACGCCCACGCAAAATCGAAAATGCAGCCGTAACCAAAGCCAACAAAATATATGTGGATCAAATACCGGTTGCAAATGATAATGACTCCGAAACTGAGCTACCTTTATCTGTTTTGTTGAAGGGTGTTGGCAAAACTGAAGCTATTGAAAATAAATCCTCTATTGTTATAACACCTGATAATGAGAAACTAAAATCTGAAAAGCATAATCTACCTACTGGGGATCAACCTCCAAAAAAACGTCGGGGCCGACCGAGAAAAGTAGTTATTGAAGAGCCTATGAAACCGTGCGAATCCGTCAAAAATTCTGGCAAAGAACATACTAAAGGCAATGTTCAAAATAACGAAGCAAATGATCAAAATCAGGAATTCTCTATTAATAATGACGACCATGAAAATTACAATGTTGAATTTGAGCCTATTGATTTGGCTGGAACAGCAGATAGCGGTAGTTCAAGTAGTTATAACACAGATTCGGATGAAAGTTTTGAACCAAAACGGAAATATGCTATCATTCCGAAAAGAAAGGTTGTCAAGCCCAAAAAATACCGTAAGCGACCGAAGCCTCTTATACCTCCCAAACGCATGACCCGTGAAGAAATTGAAGCAAAAAATGCACAACAAGAAGAGTATGAAATAGTTATTAAAACATTTTTAAAACTACTTTCATGTCCAAAATGCGAGTTGCTGGTAAAAAATTTTGCCGAAATTCGTGCGCATTTTCGAGCTTCTCATAACGATGAACCGTCATTTTTGATGTGTTGTGGACGCAAATTTTTTACAAGAAAGACCCTGGCCGAGCACATTTATATACATGGAAATCCAGAATATTTCAAATGCAAAACTTGTGGACAAATTTTTAATAATAGTCGCAGTCTACAGGAACATGAAGATGCGCACGTTAATCCATTAAAGGCAAAGGAAACAAAAACATTCCCATGTGAAAAATGTGAAAAAGTCTACTCGTCAAATGTATCTCTTGAGAACCACATCTTCTCAAAGCATGTTCCAAAATCAGAATATAAAATCAATTGCACGCAATGTACTCGTATCAAAAAGTATGTTAAAAGTCTGCTAAAATATAATAAAATAACCTCTATTTATAAACTTTCTTTTTAAGATTTCCGACTCACCGTGCACTAAAAGATCACATAAAAAAATCCCACGGTGCCACAGTCATATGCGACAAATGTGGTAAGCTGGTGCGTGTAAGTTATTTGAAGAAACACCACATGTTAGAACATTCTGATGAACCGCGACCAACTCCTGAACCGAAGCAGTGCCAAATATGCGGAGCATGGCTTCGTCATCAATATGGCCTTAACCAGCATATGAGGACAATACATGAAAACCAAGACTGCGAGCATCGTTGTAAGATTTGCAATAAGGTTTCGACAACCGCTCGGGCTCTTAAGCGTCACATTCATCACAATCATGAATGTGAGCGTAAATTCAAATGTACCATGTGTGAAAAAGCTTTTAAGCGACCTCAAGACCTTAGGGTAGAGTATACATACAAGCATAAAATTATTCTAATTTTTATATAAATATTTCCACATTAATGATAGGAGCATACCTCTGTGCACACTGGCAAAGTGTTGTACGTTTGTCCGAACTGTTCAATGACGTTCTTCTCAAGCGCCAATATGTATAAACATAGGCAACGACGGCATCGTCTCGAATGGGAAGCTGAACGTAAGAATCGTAATATGCGAACTTTTAATATCATGAAAGAGTCAAAGGAGCAAGCAGAAGGAAAACAAAAGGTGCCAACTTCTAATTTCAACAACATCATCTAGGGATAGTTAGTTACTATTAATGGTAAATTACGTATATGTTTAAAAAAAAAATCCATATGTACACGGGTATGTATGTATGAATGTCGGTGGGTATAAAAATTAAAAACTCATCAAACATCGAAATATTTGTTTTTGTTATTGTAAAATAGACGGGGGCGATGTATTTTGATGTTGCAATAGCATAAAACAATATTTGAAAAGTGCTGAGGAATGCTTGCTGAAATTCCAACATTTATTTAAAAAATGGTATAACATTTAACGAATACTTTTTATTATAAAGACACGTTCCTCAATTTAAATATTTTAAGTTTAGTGAATCCAGAGCAAAAATCGCACAAACAGTCGAATTGTCAACTGTCTGATAAATCAATGCGAGTTCAGGGTACCAGATGAGCGCTGCGCGCGTTTATTCGGAAATCCACTATTTTGGCACATATTTGGAATTTTGGGGGGCAAAGTAGTTTAGGTGGCAACGTTCTTCATATAAACAATGCAATTTAATAGTAAAAGTTCATTTCCGCGAAGAATATAATTTTTCCAACCATCTATAAATACGAAGGATGTTTGACAAACTATCATGTATTTTGTGCTTGGAAAAAGCCAACAATTCCATCGATAAAATTAATATCGATTCTGATGATTCGGAAGCAGTAAATGCCCGTGGGATAATTGAGCAACACTTCAAGGATGAGGTAAAGTTGTCTGAGATTCGAATTACAACGTTTGAAATGAGCCTATTCCCTTTTGTAGCTCAGTATGATGTCATTTTTCTCCACGAAAGTTGTGTGCAGCCAATGCTGGGAATTGGTCCAGTCTTTTCATGAATTTTATGTACGTGTGCAGAATGCTCATTTGGCAGCAATGAACACGCTGAAATCTTTGCAAGAGCTAGAGATATCTGTGACAGAAATAAAAGAAGAGCCAGATGTTATAGATGAGTTAGCATCACCTCCTAAACGTCGACGTGGCCGTCCTCGTCGTCAAAAGGACTTCGATAACCTAGACTGTGAGTCGGTTGCCTTAAGAGAATGCAGTGTTAGAATAGAGCAACTGACTGTCCCTTATAACACAATTAGCAATGACAACAAGCAAGATAAGAGTATTGAAAATGTGGATATTAAAAGTGAAGATGAGTATAAAGAAGAATGCTACCATCCAAATATATCTGAAGATGGATCACAAATTGAAATGCCTGATATACTCAGTAGGCATGAGGATGTCTTGGCGCCTTCTCCGCCACAAAAAAAGAAAGTTCGTACTAAACGAAAGCAAAAAAGAAAGCGAAGTGACCAAAAGCCAGAGACAAAGAAGAATAATAAACCGCGGCATAAAACGTCGGACTATGACGAATATATTGCCGATAATTTTAAATTAGTTTGCTTTCTTTGCCAGAAGACATTAACAGATTTTAGAGAACTCAAAATTCATTTTCGACAGCAACACCAAATGAATGGCTATGTAAAATGTTGCGGCAAGAAGTTACTGAAGCGAGGTGTACTCGTTGACCATATTCACTTCCACAATGACCCGGAATACTTCAAATGTCCGCACTGTGCAAAATTATTGTCAGACCGGAGAGGGCTCGAAACGCACCTTCAATTTTTCCATGGTTCGAGAGAACGTACTTTTAGTTGTGACGTTTGTTCTAAGGGATTCTTTCGCCGCGAAGTACTTGCTCGACATTATCTTCTACATGCTCCAGATGAACAAAAGACTGTTAAGTGTACGCAATGCGAAAAAACGTAAGTTTAAAAAAAATGTATTTTTATTTTTCCCTAAACTAACAAAGCAATTAAACCAACTGCAGTTTCTGTAATGAATACAATATGAAGCAGCACCTAAAGCTAGTCCATCTACATTTGTATTCGAAGATTTGTGACATTTGTGGGAAGTCTTTCAACGGTGGCGACGCGTTTCGTCGGCATCAGCAAGAGCATTTGGGCTTACCGAGGCCAATGATTAAATGTGAATTGTGTAATGCTGAACTTACGACAAAATATGGCTTAGCGCGACATATGAAAGTAATGCACACTGAGGAGTACCAGACGCCGCAAGTCTGTCCTATATGCTCCAAAGTGTCTCCAACTCTCAGAGCGCATCATACACATTTTAAATATATGCACGCCACCGAGCGAAAACATGCTTGCAAACTTTGTGACAAAGCTTTTAAAAGACCTAATGACCTACGCGTAAGCATGCTCATTTAAAACAAACAAAACTATTTCGAACTGATATTTTAATTTTTAGGAACATATGACAACTCATACTGGAGAAGTTCTATATACTTGTACATTTTGCCCGCAAACATTTAATTCAAATGCGAATATGTACGCACATCGCAAGCGGAAGCATCCTAAGGAATGGGCAGAACAATGTGCCAAGAAAAAAACTATGGGCCTGGGAAAGCAGATACAAAAAGATCTTGAGACCATAATAGAATCCGTGGATGTAGTGGATACAGACGGGCAAAAATAAAAGGAAAATATATAGTATAGCTCTACAAATAAAAAAAAAGCAGTCCATACATATGTATGTATACAATTAATTTTTTTCTGAAGGACATATTGTGGGTAACTTATGAGTATACGTTTGCACTATAATATTAATAATAGGTGATACGATTTACTAACATGTATGTAAGTATATGAGAAGTAATTTTCTTCAAATTTGGTAATTTTATGCCGAAATGTTAATTCTTAAATTAATAAAACTGGCTATCTTGCATTGATTTTGGTTATAAATTTTCAGTTGTATATTTTGAGGGAATTTTCGCCTATGCCTTTACAAAAATTAAAACTTAATAACATAAAATCCCTGCCAACTCTAATAAATTTCACAGATGATTGGTCTGTTCGATAATAGTTGTGTTTTCGTATTCTCTAGCAAAAAATATCCAGTAACTTGCCAGTGACCAAATTTCGAAGAGTAAGCCAATATTTACTCCCAATGAGTGAAATAGGCAAGAAAGTACGAAAACGCAAAACCAGCAAGAAGTTGCTAGTTTAATGAACAGCTGATTAATTTGTTATTTTCCGATGCAATTTTCTTAGAAAACTAGTGCTTTCCATTTTATTATATATTTAAATAGGTTTATTTTGCCAATTGCAACTCTAAAAGCACCACAAACAATTATTTTCTTAATGTGATTTACAATAAGCATCATGCCATCAGCTGTTTTTCTTACTAGCAAATAGTTGCTAGTAAAAATTTATCCAGTGAAAATCCAGTAAAACTTGCAAGTCCAGCTGTAATTTTTACTCTCTCAATTTCCCCTCTTTTGCTAGCTTCTTGCAAGTTTTTGCGAACGAAAACGACATCCAGTAAAAAACCAGTAAAATTAGTACTGGATTTACTGGATAGTGCGTACGCGAACAGGGCTAATAGTTGTGTTGTTTTGTGAAATTCAACAATAGTTTTTACGAATTTTCATGTTTTGGCTTTTTCGTTCGCAAAAACTTGCAAAGTAGGGGAAATTGAGAGAGCAAAAAATGACAGCTGAAGTTGCAAGCTTTTACTGGATAAATTTTTACTTGTAAGAAAAACAGCTGATCGCATGTTGTTGGATGAAATTTAAATTAATAAGGAAACTGTTTGTGGGTTTTTATTAGTTGTGTTTGTTTACAAATTATCCAGTAACTTGTCAGCAACTCTCCAGTAACTTTATTTCTAAGAATTCGCTCTCATAGAAAAAATTTGCAAAAAAGTAACGCTATTCCAGTAATAATTTGCAAGTTTCTTGAACAGCTGATAAATTGGTTGTTTATTCGCAGCATATTCCTCATACAACAATCTATTTTATATTTAAATATGTATTTTGTGAATTTCCACAATAAAAACCTACAAACAGTCTCCTTATTAGTTTAAATTTCATCCAGCAACATGCGATCAGCTGTTTTTCGTACTGGCAAATTCTTACAAGTAAAAATTTATCCAGTAAAATCCAGTAAAAACTTGCAACTTCAACTGTCATTTTCCGCTCTCTCAATTTCCCCTACTTTGCAAGTTTTTGCGTACAAAAACGCCAAAACATGAAAATCCGTAAAAACTTTTACTAGATTTTACTGGAAATGAGTAAACAAACGCAACTAGTGTTGCTCTCCTGCAATATGATGCTGAATAATTTTCAGTGGAGATCTATTCGAACAGACCAGATTTAATATGTAAACAAAACAAATCAGACTACCAGTGCTTTTTACAAAGTTTGCAAAATGTTTTATGACCAATCCTGTGCATTGTGTTTACAAAAATCCGGTGCGTGTGATAATCAAATAAATTTCGATTCTGATGATGAGCAATCGGTAAATGTGCGAGAGGTAATTAAAAAACACTTCAAGGAAGAGGTAAATTTTCTTTAACTTTTAGGTATATGCACTATTTTTAAGTTAACTTCTCTATTATTTATAGCTCAGTATGTTGCCCTTTTTATCCAACAAAGTAGTTTGCATTGAATGCTGGGAATTGCTTCATCCTTTTCATGAATTTTACGTACGTGTACAGAAGGCGCATTTGGCGGCGAGCAGCAAGCTTAAGACTTTGCAAGAATTAGAGATTGTGGTTACTGAAAGTAAATCAGAGACAGATGCGCTTGAAAATCTGGAGAAACATCTGGGGAGTGAGCCACTTTCTTTACGGGAATGTGCTGTTGACACTGAAAAGTTGATTTCTCCATGTAGCGCTATAAGTGAAGACAGCCAACAACTCAGTGTAAATTTAGAAATGCAAAGCATAAGGAGCGAAACTATGCAAGATGGCACAATAGAATCAAACTGTGTACCGCAGTTGTCTGAAGATGAAGAAAATAACTCAGGGAGAGAAGAGGATGACATCGGATGTCGAATTCCTCCAAAAAGAAAACGGCTGGCTAAAAGGCCTAAAAAAATAAGACTGACAGAACAAGAAAATGACCTTAAGAAAAGGAATACGCAGCGAAATAAAACAGCAGAAAGTGATGAATTTATAGCGCAAAATTTTAAATTAAAATGCTGTATCTGTTGCAAATCTCTTACAGATTTCAGAGAATTAAAACGTCACTTCCGCGAAGAGCACCAAACTAATGGGTATGTTAAGTGCTGTGGCAAGAAATTACTTAACCGCGGTGTACTAGTTGACCATATTCAAGTTCACATCAATCCAGAATACTTCAAATGTAAACACTGCGAGAAGGTACTATGCGATCGAAGCGGTCTCGAGGCACATGAGCAATTTTTCCATGGTTCTAAGGAACGCATTTATCAGTGCGACATTTGCCGTAAAAGCTTTTTTAGCCGTAAAATTTTAACTCGACATCATTTAATACATGCCCCAAAAGAACAAAAAAATATTAAATGCCCGCAATGTGATAAAAGGTAAGTGAAAATACACCCACTTCAAAGAAGACACAAATCAAAATCACCCGTTTTCAGAAAACGCGAAATTTATTTCGTAATACATATATACATGTTAATCACACGGGCAAGGGAGACTCTACCTTAATTTTTTCAATAATTTACACCAAAGTTTTGGTCCAGCTTTTGCTGAAAGGTATACATACTTATATGTAAATAAAAAGTCTAAAAACCTCCCTGCAAACCAAAGTACCCGGCAGTCGGGTCTACATAACCGGAACGACCTAGATTTATGTATGTATGCATGTACATATATGTACATATCTGACCAAGGACTGCCACTCCAGCATCACTCCCCAAAAACTCTTTGGGAAATTTGTATGCTGCTACGTTTGTGTCACTTTTGAAATGGATGTGTGATATGTCTTTCCAATAAAATTTTGGCCAATTCACATTGATTTTTTATGCAGATTCTGCAATCAATACATGATGAAACAACACCTTGCGCTTGTTCATCTAAATTTGTATGCTAAGATATGCGACATTTGCGGCAAGTCCTTAAATGGGAAACAAGCTTTTCGATGGCATCAGGAGGAACATGCTGGCGTATCAAGGTCCTTAATAAAGTGCACATTATGCAATACAGAGCTGAAAACAAAATATGGCTTAGCGCGGCACATGAAAACAATGCACACCGAAGAATACCAAACGCCTCAAGTCTGTCCAATTTGCTTTAAAGTGTCTCCAACCTTACGGGCCCACAAAAGCCACATTGAATATATGCATAGCGCAGAGAAAAAACATGTATGCAAACTTTGTGATAAAGCTTTCAAATTGCCAAAATGCTTGCGAGTAAATACATACTTCTAATATTTTTTAATATCTCCATATTAAGTATGTGTATATTTTTATTGTTTAGGAACACATGGCAACACACACTGGAGAAGTTTTGTATACCTGTACATTTTGTCCGCAAACGTTCAACTCTAAATCGAATATGTACTCTCATCGCAAACGCAAGCATCCAAAGGAATGGTCAGAAAAGTGTGCAAAGAAAACCCTCCTTGTAGAGTAAGACCACAGATAATAGTAATAGGGGGCTACCAATGTCTTTACAATAAGCTTTTCCGAACGTTGAAGACTATTCAAACGGCGCCTTGGTGTTGTAACACAAAGGGGAGGGACCTAGAGTTT